TTTCTGCACTAATGGGGCAGATAAGCCTTGTCTCTGTCAGTATATTACCAACACCTATATACTGAGGAGAAAATACCACAGAGGTATGCCTCAAACCTGATGCAAATGTAAAAGCATTTTTGGCATGACAGCATATCTGGATACTTAAGTGGTTTGGATGAAGTGAAACACCTACATGAAACACCGTAAGAACAAAGAGCCCCAGGCCTCTGACAGGACCTAGATGTGAAGCAACTGTGCAGTGAATCTGTAAAGTAACTTCTTATACAACAGATCTCCTGTCTATAGACCAAATTAATCCTCATCCATGCTGTGTTGCAAGATGCTGATGGCATATAATTGTCATAAGACATCAAAATAAGCTGTGTCTCGGCAGTATTATACCACCTACAGGAAACAAGAGGACTTCACCTGTAAAATAGACAGGTCCTCCAAACAGCTTTTTTTTTTTTTTTTTTGCTGCTATTACAGCTGTTATCTCAGATCCCAAAATGAGGTTATAGAGTTGGGGTAAAGGAAAAAGAGCATCCACCCCTCTAGAGTTATTAACCAACTACTTGGAAACAGAGGAGAAAATCTCCCCTAGTTTGTATGGGCTTGGTCAATTCCTAGTCGAAAGCCAGCAGAGCTTCCTAGCAACACCTATGGCAGCTATCTGTAAAGCAGTTCTGATGTTTTCCCTGTTCTTCAGATTAAGCAAGTCTTGGGAATGTGGTAGAGAAGGTATGCGTAATATGCTGCTCAACGGTAATATGTCCTGCCAATTAGACTGCGGAGTACAGGAAAGAAGGCTTTTCCAAAAAGCTTTCACCATGACTGACAAAACTCAGCCACACAAAAGTCAAAATGGGGAGTAAAGGACAGAAAGGGTTCAGAAGAATCATTCATTCTCTACTGGCACAAGAAAAGATTAGATTCTGCACACCATTTATCCTGGGTCCCCTCCAAGTAAAAGTCAGGGTCACAGCACCCCCATGGGCTTTGGTTTTGATCCTTCCTGTCTATCAAAAGGGGGCTTCATCCAGTCACTACACTGTGGAAGTCTGGCAAACTTGATCCTTTCCAGCTCTGCTGCAGACATGCTATTTACTGTCAGGCAAAACTAAACTTGTCCAGACCTAAGGAGTAAATTAGGGTCATATGGTACCTCTCCTAATATATTTAAATACTCTTCCCTTTAATGATGTGGACTCTCTGCATTAATGTGTTATTTTTATGAGACTGGGGGAAAACACTGGAGATAAGTGCATTTGCTGTTAAGCAAAAAGAAAATAAAGAGAAGTGGAAAAGGAAGATTTTAACTTTTGCATTGAAAACCAAACAGAACAGCTTCTTGAGAAAGGGAAATTGTTTCCTGGCAGAGCTAGCCATGGAATGCTGCCTATAGTTATCTTGAATCCATGGCTGCAAGAGTGGAAGTTACTCAACTCAGTCTACCTTTACGTGGCTTACTGTTCTACTGCTCTGGGGGGCCATAAGAGACAGATATTTCAGCCCTCTTGGCTACACATTCTTCATTCCCTCCACTTCAATCCTCTCGCAGGACAGATGATGCACACTTTGTGCAGTTTTCCTAGGTCATGGTAAGCAGCTCTGTAGAAGGATAGCTCCCTTGTATCTTGGGACGGAGCATCATTCCCCATGGCTGCTGGAGGGATGCAGTTGGGATGCTAGACCTGGAAATGTGCTCTGTTGTGATGTTAGGTTGACCACAGCAAAAAGGAAAAACGGCTTCTGACTTTGCCTGTCTGAGGGAGTTCAGTGAGGGGAACCCACAGATGTTTCTGCAGGCTCCCAGTGAGACGGGGAACAGAGTCAGACAAATTTTCTCTGGACAGCTCTGCTCCTAGCTAGAGGGATCAGAGCAGTCCCAGGGCCTCTTCATGGTATCTTCACCCAACAAAGATAAGGCTACTGAAAAGAGCAGCAGAGCCACCGCTCCTCAGATGTCCCAGATGAGGACATTGTGGTGTAGGAAGAGCACAGTGCTGGGGACTGGAGAAATGTCTAGTAAGTTACACAGTAGGAAAGTGAAAAAGTGAGCAAAGCCTCTACTTAGAACTGAGCCTTTCCTCTGCTTAGCTGATGTAACAACAGGCAAAATCAAGATCCAGCAGGAGTTAATTGTAGAGACATGAAATCTGTTGGTAGGCACAAAGGAGTAGTCTTCCTGAAATAAAGCTGCTTGCAGCATCTTCACAACTAAGGGAACCCAGTGCACCATGGGGAGCCACCAAAGTGAAACTCTGGCTTGGATCGCATCCCCTTGTTTTGCGAGTGAAGTTCAAATGTCTCCATGCTCTCAAGCTCCTACAGAGAGGCAGGAAAGAGGAATGCCAGGACTGCTGTAGAATTTGAACTGCAGAAAGCCACAAGTACTGTCAGTGGATGCCCTAACTCACAACATTTTCAGTGAAGCTTAATACAGCTAAGAGAATGAAACAGCTTGGATCAATTCCAAAAGTGTAAGCTAACAAACCAACATGATCCTTTTTTTACTGTAGGTGCAAAGATTTAGTGGCTGCTTTATGGACTCTTGCAGCTAACAGTCTGTTTGTGGTAGATTCATGATTTCAAGCTCATTTAATCAGCTTCAACACTGGAATGAAAAGCAGTTCTCAAATCTGTCTTGCATCAAGGAGCTGGGTCTTTGCAAAAACAAAACATCTTAAACATCAGCAGACCACAAAATTATATGAACTAGCAAGAACAGGGTCTTGCTGCATTTTTTGTCTTGCTTCTGTAAGTTCTTCAAAAACAGGGTCTTCCTGCCAAAGACGTGATGGAAATCATCTGTCTAGGTCAGCCTTCTGCCCTTCTTTCCCTAATGCTGGTAATCCTCATGTGTCCCACTAGAGCAAAGCACTTGCCAGTTGTGCCAGCAGCAAAGCGCAGAGCAGCTCTGCATGCTGCTGATGAAGCAAAAGGGGAAATGACAGAACTTCTAGTTCCTGTTGCACAGGACCATTACACATTTTTTAAAGCATAAACGGTAATGAGCCTCCATGTCCTGCATACACTGCCTGTGAAAAGCTCTCAGGAAGAAATAGAATATTGGCAGGTGGGAACTTAAGTCTTTGCTCTTTGCTTTGTTTTGGTCTAATATCTTAGGTTTGGGACATCAACCACCTTTTTGGAGGGTTGAGGCAAGGAGGGGAGACCCTCCTCCCCCCCACAGCCCCCCCACGCTACTAAAAATGTGTCTGGGGAGTTGAGGTGTTATAAAAATAAGAACATAAATCTACAGCTGATCTGAAAACAAGATAGCATGAGTAAAGAGTTAGATATTGAGGTAGAGGATCAGAATCAAAAGGATGAAAGTCATAGGCTAAATAATTCAGAGAAGCTTCCTGACTGTTGAACCCACTGCAAATGTGACACATCTCCTGAAAGGAAACAAAGGTCCGTGCCTTGCAACTCTAAAACACCCCTGTAGCAGGTGACAGAAAATATTGAGAGGTGCAGTCCCCTGTGGTGAGAGGACAGGAGATGGGGCAAAGAGTGCTCAACAAGACAGAATATCTGTTTCAGCCCTCAATTATTTTTTGCTCCATATGCTACTTCCTGTGCAGAGCAGTGATAACAAATTAAGAGTTCAACAGCCCCTCTGAGACGTGACAGGATACTACACAGTGAAAAAGTATGAAGCAAGCAGCAATAGCTACTGATACAGGTTTTGACAAACCTAAAAACCCTCATAAAGCTCTGCATTTGTCATGGCATGTATCTATGCTGCATTGGTTTCAGCAGTGCTTGGTTCTGCTCAACACCAAAATTTTTTAGATAGTTTGCTGAGGACTTATCTTGTAATGAACGTGCCTGATCTTTAACCCCTGTCTACAGGGCAGGCCAGCACAGATAACAAGGACTGCAATGTTAACACCTGGGCGTTATCAGAACTGCCCAGATGAGCGATGTGCTAGAAATCTTCAAAGAAAAATTACAGTGGTGCCTGGCTTTGTTGCGTGCTCCACACTGCTGGTGCCACACCAGCGCACAAAGAAAAGGCGTTTCTGAGAAGATTAATATAAAGTGTTTGGTAAGATCTGTGTTTTGCTGAAAGAAATATCCAAAGTCCTCTTTCGTCATTTGAGGTTTTGCCAATGTTGTAATCGCATTTCTATCTTCCATGCCCATCCTAAACACAATTTTTCCTCTGCCACTTGAAAATGGTTTGAAAAGCTAGTGAATCCAATCTCACATGAGCAAAACAAGCACTGTCACTCCCATTTCATATGAATGGGAAAGGAGGCAAAGAGAAGTGAACTACCTTCCTAAGAAGCTGCTATACAAGAGAAGGTTTTGGACTGAAAAGGCAGGGGACTCTCATTCCTGCTTCCACACCCCTGTCCATCAGCAGTGTGCCTGCCAAGAGACGAGAGCTCCTATTCCCTAGAAGCACAAGGCACAGAGCGTGAAGAAAAGCACCGCAGTTGTCCCATTGCTGCACTTTTCCTTCACCTTGCCGCAGCAACAGCTCTCAAGTTTGCTTTCCTGAACCAAAATGCTGCTGGTAATGAAAGTGAGACTGCGGGATCCACGTGGAACAGGGGGGACAAGTAGGTCTAAATCACAGCTGCTGTTCTATGTATTGGCTAGGAATCAACCCCAAGGAGTCCACTAATCCTGTACAGTTTGTTCACTTCTCCTTACATGCGCAATTTTACTGAATTTTCAAATCCCCATTTGAAAATTATTCCTATTAAAATGTAACTCATTTTCCTACCTCAGAGACTAACTGCTAAAGTAAATGGCAGTCCTTCTCATTCCCCTTTCACAGATGTAATTTCTCCCCATACCATCCCCCCCCTCCAAATCTCAACCCTGTAAAACATTCTGAGGTCCACAGCAGAGGCTGGAATTGTAGGGGAGACACATTTATCTGAACCATGACAATAAGGCACTTTGAACCACCTTCAGCGAGAAATTGCTTTGCAAGGTGCAGCTAATGCAGAATCTAGGAGCAAGCCACAAGCAAGTGAAATGTAAGTTTTCTTTACCTCCATGTCCTGCTAGAGAGAGGTGTCCTCAGGGCAATCTTCCTTCCCCACCCCTTTCTCTCTTATCTGTGGGAAAACTTCAGCCGAGCCAGAGCAAAATCACGCTGCTGTGGAGGCTATGTAATATCCACACTTCTGCTCAGCTTGAAAACTGACAGAGCCCAGTGAGTGGCCCTGCACTACGAACAAGGAAGAAGGGCGGGTGGGTGAGAGGAAGGGAGGGAGGGGAGACGAGAGGAGAGGAGGGGAGGGGAGGCAATCAGAGTTTAAATTTAGACACAAATCTAAACAGATACTGTCCTTCCCAGAGTGCTGTACTCATGAGACAACAAGCAGCAAACTCTGCTGCTGTGCCCAAACTTGGGGACACCATGTGTGCATTTTCTCCCTCACTTTCTATCTCCCCTTTGTATTTCTATCACCCCGTTTATTTATTTATTTGTTTGTTTCTCTTCCCAGTTATGCCTCTGTTTTTCTCTTTTGCTGGCAGTTGCTCCCCAACATCTGCCTCAGTCTCTCCCCTGTTCTCTCTTATCTTTCCAAGTCCACAGGGTCTCCTCATCGTATTTGAGTCAGATCTTTTCTTTAACACTGTCCCTTTTCCTCCAATTTCAGTTGCAGTGGACTTTCTTCAAAGTAGTCTGAGAGGTGGAAAAGGAGCAGAAATCAGGTGGCAATGCATTTGCACAGAAGATGTGGCTTTGGTACCTTGGTCCATGGCTGGGACTCCCAGGCACAGTATCAGCAGTACTATCATGCTGTTGGGTGATTCCATGAAGACAGACCACAGCTTCACTGAGAAAAGTGCTGCACAAAAGCAGACACAAGCACAGTGTCCCCATGCGAGGTCTCACTGGCTAGCTCAAGTGCAGGACTTGTTCTTTCCATTCCAAATTCATTTCTTACATTACAGGGACAGAAACTGCAGGACATTTATCCCTCCTTTTGAAGGGAGGGACAGACTTGCACACTGGAAATGAGAAGCTTCTGTGGAGGTGCAAAAACTCAGATGGGAAAAACTAAGCCTCAGGAATGTTTTGCTACAGTTTCCCTTTCCATTCAGACTGCAGTGTTGTAAACTATACATCTTGTTCCTGTTTTAGCAACTGTTTGCACATGCTCCTTCTCAAGAATTTCAGTCCCCACCTCCTGAGAGCAGGGTGGTGCAGAGGAATTTGGAAACACCCCTTTTGTCTTCTGCTTGGCTTCTTTGCCTTTCAAGAGACACAATTTCACGTTGTTGTGCTGGGGGCAGAAAAGGGTTAAAGCATCTTTTCTGAAGGCAATGCATACTTTCCCCTTGCAATGTTTCACACAAGCCTCTGCTGCGTATGGAGGTAAACACTCCAGAATGAATTTAAACGTGAACATCATCAAATCCCAGATTATTGGTACCAACAAATTGTCTCAATACATTGGTTTTTATGGCATACTTAACTTTTGCAGTACTGAATGCTGTAGGACTCCTACAGTTCCTTAGAAAGTATAGGAATTAGTCAATTTAAATCATGGTCTCATTATCTCCTAAGTTCAATGTACAGTGTTGCTCAGTTCTTAGCCAAAAGAATGATGCACTGAGTTACTGCAATCTGGAGGTTAGGCAAGAGGACAAAATAATCTTCTGTTGCTGAAACACTGGATTAGTTGAATCCTCTCTAGTGTAAGCAACCAGCGGATGCTGTAACAAGAACTCGAATAAAATAAAGATTATTATTCTAAAAGGAATACAAAAATGAAATTCCTTCTTGGTTGGAAATCCTGTTCATGTCTTAGAGTTCTGCACAAGTTGGGTGGATAGGAACTGAAACGATGAGAAGCAGGTTAGGGTGGGGAGAGCAAGACACTTTCGGCCACCCATGCATTGCCTGCTGTAGCAGTAGCAGGAGAATTTCATACTCAGGGAATTCCCTATGGTCACAAATGTCACTTTCAAGATGTCTGCATGTAACAGACCACCAAAATTAGGTACCAGTTAGATACCATGGTTGCTTCATTGTGCTCAGTCCATTTCAGTATTTTCTTTCTGCTTTCAGAGGTTTTACTCTATGGAGGAAACTACTTGGGCCGACAGAAAAGGAAACTGCTGGACAGGGATAGTATCACTTTACCCACACTAATAACGCAAATGCAGTTACAGCTACACCCCCCACACTTCTCCACTCTACTTATTTATGCTCCAAAGTATCTTGTCATGAAGTAAATCTTTTCTGCCGGCAGAATTCCCAAATGCCATTGCTCTGAGCATGGTACATAGTACTCGGTTTATTAATGTTTATTCTTCCTTCCTGAACAAGCAAGGAGAGAAAGGCGCAAAAATATGGTGCATGTTTTTCTCCAGAAAGGAAGACAAGAAGTGTGGATTTGCTCTAGGCTTTCTTTTTTCCTGGGCTGAAAAATACTGAAAGATATGTTACAAACAAATTCACTTGCTTTAACTGCAAGAACCTTCTGAAAAATGTTATTAAGGGAGGTTGTACTGAGGAGCTGAGTGTTTTACATGACGTGTACGTGCAAACATGAATGTGGAATATTCTGGAGTGTGACCCTCTGTATCTCTGTTTACAGACTTTCTGGGATGTCTATAAGATTCATTTGTTGGTACATGCAAAAGAAATTTCTACATCTGTTCTTCTCAGGAGATAAAAAAACAACAGTCATGACAAATAACATTAAAGCAGACAGATGAACACAAACTTCACTGGGGTGAGAAAATGCTGTGCTTGTGGACCCCGGGGTTTTGCAGCTTCCCAGCTGATTCTTTTTGATACGTGTGAGGCCAAAAGAGCAAGTTCACTTCAGACCAAATGACTGGTGCTCCGGCTATATGCAATCACTCATCCTGGCGTGCCTGAAAAAGACGTAGTATAACTAATTCTGCCACGCTTAGCAATGCCATATATAATAATTGCTGACCTCTTGCTTTTTGGCAATGAATTATGGAGTAAGGGACATCTCTACGATACTAAATCAATAGAAAGGACATGTGGGGACGTGTCAGATCTTTCTTCAGAGGCCACTCTGGAAGGAAAGCTTTGGAGGGCAACTGAAATTTTGACTCAGATATTTCACACAGAATCACAGAATGGCCAGGGTTGGAAGGGACCTCAAGGATCATGAATCTCCAACCCTCCTGCCACATGCAGGGCCACCAACCTCCCTATTTAATACTAGACCAGGCTGCCCAGGGCCCCATCCAGTCTGGCCTTGAAGTCACAAGTATTTGTGTCCCCATAGCTGGTTTGTTTGGGTGTGTCAATGTGGGCACTGAATCTGGGAAGGTGTGTTTGTGAGGGTGGTGAATTAGGTGAGGGTGGAGGGAGCTGTGGGTTTCTGCAAGATAGATTGAATCTCTGTCTTTGGTTAAAATACCTGTTTAGAGTTTATTAGAACATGAATGTCAGTACCATTATCTGAGATTGTTTTGTCCATCTATGTGTTCAAAGTGGGCTGGTGATACCCACACCATTCTCCAGAATTTATATTATTAAACAGCAGCTGTTACCAGTTGAGTTTTTGACTCTACTGAAACAGAGGTCTCAACCTTTCTTGATTCCTCTCAAGCAATTTAATTCTCAACTGAAAAATAAAGGGGATGGGGTGGCCACAGAAAAAAAAAAAAAAAAAAAAAAAAAAAAAAAAGAACTTGCATTTCAAAGAGCAATCAACTCTAAAAGCCAGCATCCTGTTTTGGGCTGGGTTCATACATCAACTCCTCTGACAAAAGCAAGCTCACAGGAAGTGAACGTGAACAGCATTTTCTATGGGAAACTCGCTTTTTGAACCCACCGTTCTGCTGGCTGCATTCTGAAATATCTCCTCCTGCTAACCCTGCCCTCGCCTCTCACCATTAAACTAATGCTGCAAACGCTCAGCCTCACCCTCCTCTTCAGGGAGTTATCGGCAGGAAATGAAGTCAGTTGGAACGCTTTGTACTATCGATATTTTTTGCTCTAATTCTGCAGCTGCAGCGAGGCACATCTGAGCACACACGCACACACGCTCACGTGCAACCATGCGCTCATACACACAGACTCACGTGCCACACATTATACACCCCTGGGAGCTGAGGTTAATGGGCACGTTCCGTTACCAAAGATACTTGATTAAAATGAATAATGGGCATGGATAATAAGGGACACTCACTGCTAACATCATGGTTTTGTACAAATTAGTCAAGCTCCTTAAGTTCCAGGATCTGGTCAAAAAGCCTGTCCCTAAACAGAGGCAACTTAGAAAAACATGGTGTTTTATAGGATGAATTTCACCTGCAATGCCTTGCCCCCGTGGTTCTGCTCTTAGGAAGAAGATCACATTGAAGTTCACCACCCACACTTACACCAGGCAACCTAGGAATGGTGAGTGGTGTACAGGAGGCTAGCATCACCTTTTGCAGCACTTGAATTTCTTCAGAGAGCTCTACTTTCACTGCTGATCCATTTGACTTTAGAAAACAAATTTAACAGGGTACAATATGGCATAGCTGCATCACATTCTATTAATACAGCGATGTGACAAATAGCAGCAGCAGCTATTGCTGGCCTGTTCCTAGACTGAAGGGTTCTTCACCCGTTACTAGCTCTAATGTCCTACAAGACCTAATAGAAACACAAAGTTATACTCAGAACAGGATTGCTAACACAGGGTCTCTGGTGTCTGTGCTGGATAAAACAATGTTTTTTACTACATCATTCCCAAGCCAATCCTACTGCACATCTCAGCATCACAGAAAGCAGTGTCACACTTGCCCTCTAACCAGGTTCCTCAGCAGGCAGTCCAAGCTCTGACTCAATAGCAAGATTTTCTGACTGAAAACAAAACAACATTTCTGCTTCTTAGCAGGTTACACACAGAGCAAGCTTGCATTGCCACACTCTGTGTAGCAGCTGTTAAAAAGATAGAAGGACTTCTTGCTGAATGGTGGGCCAGTGCTATGTTCAATTCATCTCTCTTTTGACATATATATATAGACAAAAGGGGCAGAAACAAAATGCAATTTGGCAACTTTGAGGACAAGAACGAATAAATGCATTAGGCACAAGCACAAAATACCTTTTTGTGTTCAGTAAAATTCTGTATGGTGTGAAATTTCTTAACAGTAGCTGTACTGCACTATCCTGCAGGGCTGGTGTTTCCTTAGGTTGATAACTAACTAACATTTTTAGAAACAATTTGCATGCTGGGACTCATGTGGCACCCAGTGCCGGCGCTTCAAAGCACTGAGTACTTCAGGTTTGCCAGAGCTGACTCAGAGATCGATGCCTTCTGTCAAATGCAGCGGCGAGCGACTTTAATCACTCTGGCTGTCATTTGGATGCAGAGAGCTGGCCTGGCTCACAAATCAAGCACTATTCAGGACCAGACTGCATGGCCCGCAAGCGTTATCTGCACAAAGAAAGGTTTCTGTTCATGGAGAGACTGCATGATCTAGACAGGAAGCCTGGCCCAGTTCCCAGCTAGGCTTCATCTGAAGAGAAAACTTGCCCAGCCCATCAAATAACCATACTATCTCAGTGAAGCTGGCTCGGGGCAAAAGCAGCTATAAAGAGGGCAGCTGGAGCATGATGAAACACTGGGCAGGGTGGAGACCTCACTGACTTTCTGGTTAAAATATACCTTCTCCAGAGACATGGCCCCCAGATATATCCTCCAACCGATGATATGTAAACTACACTAAAATCACAGTTTTTCCACTACCTGGCCAACACCTGGAGGGAGTAAGTTGGCTCAATTACAGTAAGATTTTACTGTTTATTTGGCAGTTTTGCTGATGTAAACGAGAACGTAAGTTGAAAAGGGGAACTAGTGGCTAGCAATACTTTTCTGAATTTGTTATGCAAGGGTCCTGGATGCCCCTAGACACACTGCATTACAACAGAGAGAATCCTTCTCCTTTCTGAGATCTATCTGAGGAAGTGAAAGAGGCCTGGATGTTTACTTCAGATAACATTGCTTCAGAGCAAGCAAAAGGAGTTAAAGACTGCTTTCTTCACCCTACAGATTCACCCAACAGCCATCCAAGAAGAATTGGGCCAGTACAAGCCCCCTTCATTCAGTGCAGTATGCAAGGCAGTCTATATGCTGGTGTGTATTGCCCACAGTGGAAAGTACTCAGCCTAATAAATCCTGCTCTCTGCAGCACAGAGAGCCAACACTACTCGTGTCAACAAATGCTGCTCAGGGAGATACGCCGACTGGATGCAGCCCAAATCCCCCAAGAGGGCTGTAAGCAGGTGTGCTTGCCGGCCTCTGCAAGCACTGTGAGCAGGGTTGGGCAGCAGCACCCCATTGTGGCTGCTCACAGGGAGGACTGCAGGACACTGCAGGAGAGGAAAAACTTGCACGTGCAGAGGTACTGTCTGGGGAGAACCTCCAGTAATGTACACTCTTCTGCTGAAGTACAGACAGCCACATTTGGCAAATACATTCTGCTAATAAATGTAAACTCTGTAGCATATAAGCTTCCACCTTTATGCATTTTCTTTTTTTGAGGAAAAAAAAAAAAAAAAGAAAAAAAAAACCAACAACTCCATCATCTCTTTTATCTCCTTTCCTTTCTATCCTTTCTCACGTTTTGACATCTCTTTTTTCCTGTATTGACTCCACCAACCACCTCCCAATTTCTCCCTACGACACTGTCCTGTTCCCCAGCAAAATCACCATGCACCCATTCTCACCCCCCCCCCTCCCCTACCACTTGATCCTTTAGCTGCAGTGGGGAGAAGATGAACCCTTCCCTCTAGTTCTCAGAAGGCAGAACTGCTGTGAAAAAGAAAAGTGCATATATATATATATGTTGGTGGAAAAAGAGGAAGAAATATCTCTCCTTCAGTTTGCAAAATCTCTAAGAAAAAGAGCTTGTTTCAGTACGTGTTCCTCATCTGTAAATCCTAAACTACACAGATTAGGAACTCTAGATCATTTTTGTCCCTCCTTTCCATACTATTTTCACTTCTGCAGAACAGTTGCAGTCTTTTTCAACAAATTTCACTCTTGCCCCTCCTCCAAATGTAGCTCATAACCCTATCTATATAAAAGCATTCTTTCAGGCAGCCTTCTTTTCCCTCATACTAGCTTCTTTTCTTGTGTTTTCTCTTCAGCGCTTTGCCCTGAGATAGAACTTGCTCTAAATCAGAGGCACGGGTGCTGCGCTACGGCAGAGCAGGTTTCTCCCGAGCACTGCCAGGAGAGGGCAGCAGTGGAAGACTTCGTGTTTCAGCGTTTCCCCTTACCTAGAGGGATGCCACTGTCTGCTCCCTGGAAGTGAGAGGAACACTGGAGGAAAAACAGTTTTATTCTGCCTGTACACAGCTACAAGACAGTACATAAATGGACCCGCGGTTTATTTTTCTTCGAGATGAGATGGCTTACCTGAGTTCAGCCCAATGAATGACTCCTCTGGCATACAGCATCACTTCCACAGGCCTGTCAGTTCATTGGCCTGGCAGCCCACAGCCGGATCCTTTTCACGTGCCCACAGCCTCAGCTGGTGCCTGGATACACACGTGCCATATGAAGAGGTACTTGCGGACGGATGTCATGTGAGAAGCATGCATGGTGAGAAAGAAGCCTTGATTGCAGCCCTGAACATGTAACATAACACCTTCTGTTAATATGGGTAAAGCTAAAGGAAAACTCTTGGCATATCAACTTCTGGGAGATTGAAAGTCTGCCTGTTTTAATGTGGCTTTTGGGGTTTGGCTAGAAGGGCTCTGGGATGTTGAGGTGATCCTACTGCAAACAGAACTCTTGGAGAAAAGGCTTTTGCAGTATTCATATGAGGGCTCACCCTTTCTTTTCTGTAAGGCTGATCTTTGGTAGATTCCATCCGAGCAGAATATTCTATTCTCGGCATTGTTACCTGGATGATTTTAGCTGTAAATTCACCTTTGCATACCACTGGATCTTGGGCTAGCAACAGACCCATCAAGCTCTGTCAGAGACTTGAATGTGGAAAAGAACCGAGAAGGCTGGCCATGGCACGCTTCATGCTTTGTTGCACTCCTGTTCTACTCCTTCATTTGCACCAGGCATGCTGCAAGGTGCAAGAATAACAGAGAATATTTCTTGAACGGGCTCGAAATCAATATCCGAAGTATAGAAACTTGTCATTTTTTGCTGCTGACCTCAGTTGATGCTCCCGCAAACCCGGTAACGGTGGTATTGAGTCAATGTCGGTTTCTCTACCACAGGCTGCCCCACACACAGCGTAGACACACTCGATTAAGATTGAAGCGGAGCGAGGCGCCCCTCCGCATCTCGTAAATGTGATTGGCAGAAAGTTCCGGCGAGGCCTTTCATTGGCTGTCGGATCACCGTGGTCCCACCCCCCTCCCCGCTCCTCCCGACGGCGAGCCTGGGCTGTCAGAGTTGTTTACCACCTCCGGCAGCCGACGCGCTCGGCCCCGCCTCCCGTCATCTCCCATTGGCTGAGAGTCGAGCAAATTGGCTTCGATTGGCGGAGAGCAGAGTGACGCGCTCCACCTCGCGCCGGGTTGCAGTCCGTCGCCGCGTCGCTCGCGATAGACTGTGGCGTCGGTGGCTGCTGCGGTGCGCAATGGTGTTGTTGGCGCTCCTGTGCGCCGCCGCGCTGGCGGTGTCGGCCCGCGGATCCATCCCTCCGCCCGAGGAGGCGGCGCGCATGGCGCGCTTCGTGTTGCACAACTGCGACTGGGGCGCGCTGGCCACGCTCTCCGCGCAGGAAGGGCTGCGCGGTCGCCCCTTCGCCAACATCTTCTCCATCAGCGACGGCGTCCCGGGGCCCGGCGGCGGCAGCGGCGTCCCCTATCTGTACCTGACCGACATGGAGATCTCCGTGCAGGACCTGGAGGTGAGCGGGCGACTGCGTGTGTCTGCGGCTCAGCTATTGCTCTGATGCGTTAAAATAGTTTGTGCGTCTCAGTGGTGCTGATAGCCTGATTTATGTGGTATATAAGTTGTTAGCCAGCCATTTCCTTCACTGAGTTCCTGACATAGGTTTATCGCGCTACCGTGGGGCGGTCACGTGGAGGGAGGCAGCTGATGGCGGATAGTGCTGACTAATGGTGAGTCAGCGCTCTTCGCAGTTAAGCAACTTCCTCAGAAAACTGAAAATGTGGTATAACTTGTTCTCGGGAAGGTACACAGCCCTCTTATCTTACTGTCTGCTTTTCAGATCAATTCGAATGCCTCCCTAACTGTGTCTTTGGCACAGACTCCATACTGCAAGAAGCACAGATACGATCCTCAGAATCCCCTCTGCGCCCACATCATCTTCTGTGGGAGCATTGTAAAGGTAAGCCGTGGGAAGTTTGTGCTGGATCTGTTTGGAAACTGAAATGTCCACGATGAAAATGTCCAAGTTCATGCTTTGCTCATGTCTTATAAAAGTGTGATCAGGCACTGGAATGGCCTGCCTAGGGAGGTGGTGGAGTCGCCATCCCTAGAAGCGTTCAAGAGGCATCTGGATGAAGAGCTACAAGATATGGTTTAGTAGCTTGTGGTAGCAATGGTGATGGGAGGACAATTGGACTAGATGATCTTGTAGGTCCTTTCCAACCTTGTGATTCTATGATTATGATCAGTTAGGTCTAGACTGAAAACCAGACCAGACCAAGCAGAGAGCCGTGGTGCTTTGACAGCTGAAGGTTTACAACAGTTTAGCAATTTGGGTCATGTACAATTTACAAATCCAGTTTCTCTGACCTTTGTAGCAAAGTATGAGAAGCAATTCCGTAACAGCACAGACTAAAACAGGACTGTGGCACAGCTGCTTTGATACATGCATGACCCAAACTTTATTGAAGTACATATTAATCCAAGTTGTAAAGCTACAAGCATTAGCCAGAGAAAAAGTTTACTGTCTCACCTGGTGCTGTTGCTGCCGTAGAAGGAATTTAGAACTGTGTGTGTTATTCATAGTAGATCTTGATCCCATTATTAAGGGTAATTGGTGCGGATGGGGACTAATCACTGGTGTCTTTTATGTGATAGCCTGAATTTATATTTGGTGTTTTCATACTTCAGATTACATTGCACTCTAGCAATCCTTGAATTGCCTTCAGGAAGTTTGTCATCAATACTGGAACTATTTTAATTCCAGTACCATTTATTCTAAATGCTTTTGTACTGTATCCAAAACTCTTGCTGATCTGACCCTTTAAACATTTGCACATCAAGTAGTCACAGGTTTTAGCTTCCTTTCTCTTGTAGATTTTGTTATTTCATGGTATGTATGTGTGTGTGTGTGCTTGAATGCATCCAAACACTGTTTGGTTTGTGGGGTATCCCTGACTGAGCAGGTGTAGAGGAGGTGAAATTACACCTAAAACATGGTCTTCTCATAATGCAGCAGGGATATTTCTCTGTTTTGTGATTTTTTTGCTGTTCCAAATAACATCCAAGATCATGGTGTATATTGTTGCTGCTTACTGATTTGAAGAATCATATCTAATTTGATAATTTACATATCATTACAAATCTGTCATTACTAGGATCGAAAACAAAACACTTTCCAGCCTTGGTTTTAGGTTCTTATTCAGTTTTTATTCTTCATAGAATATCAATCCCACTTAAGTATTAATGCCAAAGACACTTAATTTTTTCTCCCTGGCTTTTGTCCAGTCAGGTTGTGCACACTTTAAATCTTGAAGAACATGGAGAAAATCTGAAAAAAAAAAAATAAAAAAAAAAATAACAATAAAAAAAATCTGTCTCCAAAAACATCGTTCCAGATTACATACTGAAAGCTAGAATTCAGACAATGCTTCAAGAAACAATTTCACATGAAGATTTCATTCTGAAAATGGATAGTTAACATCCCTATTTGTTTTTCTGTTAAAAAGTAAAAGCTGATGTCTTAATTCATACCAACATCATTCTGTTGTCTTTTAATAACAAAAGCAAAGCTTTGTACCTCATTATTCTACTATTTATTCACTGTATCTCTAGTAAGAATTTTAAGTATCTACTTAAGATACTTCAACAGATGTCTGTGAACTTGGATAATTTTCATCTCTAAAATAAAGTTTTTCTTTGTCCACAGTGTAGGGTGTGGTTTTATCCAGTTGTCTTTAGACAGATCAGTGTCAGGTTGGATAGAGTCTTTACATCAGAGTGAGATCAATACTTTTTTCAAATCTGTCAGCCTGCATCTTTCTCTAGAGAACAGTAGAAAGACTTCATCTAATGTCAATGAAGTACTTTCATGCTCTTGCTTACTTTAAAACACCCTTTTGATTTAGTATTGAAAGCAGCTCCCTTGGAGCATTTGCCTGTCTCATGTACACCATCCTGAAGATAAGTAGATTCTGCCACAGTAATGAGCACTTTAGGGCAAAATATGGCTAAATGAAGAAGAGCACTCTGTAGTCAGAAGTGTGTTTTAGATAATATTTGTCTTCCTTGTCTCTGTCTTAATATTTTGCTGGCTGTTGTTCAGGTGAATGATTCAGAAGCAGCCTTAGCGAAAAAGGCATTATTCACTCGGCACCCTGAGATGGAAAGTTGGCCTAAGGATCATAACTGGTTCTTTGCCAAATTCAACATCACCAATATTTGGGTTCTGGACTACTTCGGTGGACTGAAAATTGTGACACCAGAAGAATATTACAATGTCAAGCCTTTGTAAGTACTTAAGTTTGCATGCTTGACTCACTATATTTGGAAGCTGTAACGTTTCTTATTAACAATGTGTATTACTCATCTCTGCTTTTATATAAAAATATATACATTTTATATAAAAAATATTTTTGTATAAAAATATATACATTTTATATATAAAAATAATACATTTTTCTTATTTCCATAAATAGTCTACTGGATGCAGTATCTCAAATTGTAAGATATGTTTGATTAGGGGATCCACCTACCTAAAGAAAACAAGCATAGTACCTATAATTAACTCTCTGTGGATAACTGCACTTCAGCTTAAAAGAGGTTTCTTGGGAGAACTGCAGAGTAAGCACAGTCACTATCCTTTATTTGGGTTAATTGCAAGGCAAGTTAGGTTTTGGTCTAATAGTTAAACATAGACTGTTAAGCATTTGTGAAGCTCTATCAACAGGATTGTAGCAATAATGCATTGGTTTTGAATCTTTTGTCATGATACTGAAGTATAATATATTAATAATTAATAAATACAAAATATATATACTGTGTGTTGTCAGATACATTTTAGCACAGTCAACAAACACACATACTATTTCACTTTTGTTCCTGTAGGCAGAGGAAGATCCTTGGTGATGCTGACAGTACAGATGGATTACTTTGGATGACTGCTCCATGAAAGATTTTCTATGTGCAGTAGAGCTGAGTTAATGCAAAAAATTCTTACACCTTGCATTGTTAATAAGCTGGTGTAATCCTTCTGAAGCACTTGTAAATTCACACTATCTAACAGATTGAATCATGCCATGCTCAAAATCCTTTGTGCGTAAGCCATAACTAAATGTTGTTCAGTGGACACAAACCTGGAGTGTTATTTCTCTTAATAGTCCATAATGCTGTGTTTACTAGAAAGTAAAGGATTAGTCTGGTTCTAAACTTTCAGTGCCTTAGTTAAATCATTTCTGTTTGTAGGCACTCTCCAATTCTTTTTAATACCACTTCACTTGGCAGTGGTATTAAAAATACCACTTTATCTGACACAGCACTACAGGGTGGCTCAGCTGATTGTAGACTGGAAAACCTTGCTTATATTGCAACGACAGATGATATATTGAGTTCTGAATTTTTCTTTCAACACCTGTACACTCACAATTTGAGCTGTTTTTCTGTTAACCATGTTTTTCTGCTAACCCTGATTGGATTTATGGAAATTGTATGTGTACTTCAGGCTCATGGTGAGTTCTTGGTAAGTCTTTGTCTAGTAGTGGTTATATGCCATGATTCTTTTAAAAAAGTAATAGTAGTAGTGAAAGTACCTGGCTGTGGTACATGAAGAACAGTGGCTTGTAAATCCAATGAGACTGATACAAAAAGAAGATGTTTGCTGACCTGAGTTTTGAAATCTTTGGCTTTGCATTCTGATCAAATGACAATGTAGCAGCTTTTGCTACTTTCAGTAGTAGAATTTGGTAGATTTTTTTGTTTTGGAAGCCTAATACAGCAATTTTAAGTCTGTAATCTGAGAGTGAGAAAGAAACTAATACAGTACACAACAGATGATTTGTCAACTGTAGAGAACGAAAAGTAATGAAAAGTGTTGAAAGTTAATTCTGTTTCATAAAATAAGCCCTACACAAAAAAAAAGTAGAACATCTTTTTATATCCTGTCACATCTCCCATGTACGTAGTTCACAAATATTCAAAAGTGGTTACGAACAATTAATTTATTTTAACCCAAGCCAATATTACCTGCTTGACATATTGAAGAAGGTGAAAATGTAGAATCCTTAGAGGTA